CTAGCTAGCCACAGCTAGCCAGCTAGCCACGGCTGGCTAGCTAGCCACAGCTAGCTAGCAGTCCGCAGCTAGCCGCAGGCAGCTAGCCCCAGCTAGCTACCCACAGCCAGCTAGCAACAGCTAGCTAGCCACAGATGGCTAGCCACATGTAGCCACCCCCAACTAGATATTCACAGCTAGCTGGCCACAACTAGCTAGCCACAGCTAGCTAGCTACAGCTAGCTGGCCACAGCTAGCTCGCTACAGCTAGCTACCCACAGCTAGCTAGCTACAGCTAACTCGCTACAGCTAGCTAGCCACAGCTAGCTAGCTACAGCTAGCTAGCCACAGCTAGCCACAGGCAGCTAGCCACAGCTAGCTAGCCACAGCGCTGCTAGAGGAAAGCCAGTCGATAAAAGGTGCGTAGCTGTGCGTTTAGCACAAAGTCAAGGGTTTAGGGTTTGAGCCCTCCCCAAACCCTAAACCCTAAACCCTAATTCCAAGGTCCGCGGGTGTCACGCCCACTGGATCCCTCACACTCAAAACCTGCACTGGTGCTGCGCAGCTAGCTGCAGCAGCTAGCTGCAGCAGCTAGCTGCTGAAGCTAGCTGCTGTAGCTAGCTGCTGTAGCTAGCTGCAGCAGCAAATTGTGGCTAACTGCAGCTAGCTGTAGCTTTCCCCGTTTGCCAGACAGGTGGGGTAGAATAGCAGAAGCGACTGCGAGAGCCTAAACCCTAAACCCTAAACCCTCGGGTTTTCATCTTGCATGGCCGCCGCAGGCGCAGCGCTAGGGTTTAGGGTTTAAGTCTCTGCGCTAGGGTTTGAGGCCTGGCGCCACACCGTAGGCCTAGGGTTTCGACCTTAGTGTTTAGGGTTTAGGGTTTAGGGTTTAGGGTTTGGAGGCGCCACCGACAACGTGGCCGAGTGGTTAAGGCGGTGCCCTGCTAAGGCATTGGGTTCTGCCCGCGTAGGTTCGAATCCTGCCGTTGTCGCTTTTTCGAGGGTTTAGGGTTTAGGGTTTAGGGTTTAGGGTTTAGGGTTTAGGGTTTAGGGTTTAGGGTTTAGGGTTCGGGGCTTAGGGTTTGGCTCTAGGGTTTTCGGGTTTGGCGTCTAGGGTTTACAGTTGGGCCTTTTGGGCCAGTTTGGGTTTCTAGGGTTTAGGGTTTGGTCTGGAGGGTTTACGGCTCGGCTCCTAGGGTTTAGGGTTTGGCTCCAGGATTTGGGGTTTAGGGTTTAGGGTATGGATGGGTCTAGGGTTTAGGGTTTGCGGCGGGGACTGAAGATAAGTGCCCAAGTGTCACGGGTGAGGGTTTAGGGTTTTGGGTTTGCACTGGCTGCAGAGTCTCTAGGGTTTAGGGTTTATACTGGCTATTGAGGGTTTACGGTTTAGGGTTTGCACTGGCTGCAAAAGCTCTAGGGTTTGCACTGGCTAACGAGGGTTTAGGGTTTAGGGTTTGCACTGGCTATAGAAGGTCTAGGGTTTAGGGTTTGTTGCCGTTGCTGCTGTCAAATACCAGCGTCGGGGGTTTAGGGTTTAAAGCTTGGGCTTCAGGCCTGAAGCCAAGGGTTTAGGGTTTAGGGTTTAGGGTTTCGCAGTGTAAAACAAATTAAGATCCGAAGTTTGAAGAAACAAGCCAGTGAGCAGCAGAATAAACAAATAAAATAAATAAAATAAATAAAATAAATAAATAAAATAAATAAATAAAATAAATAAAATAAATAAGCAGTAAACGAATGAGATGGTGCTGCAGATTGCTGCTGCCCACGCGGCAGCTGCTGCTGCTGCTGCTATTGCTGCTGCTGCTGCTGCAACAGCTGCTGCTGCTGGGGAACTGGGAGGCGTTCGTAAACCCTAAACCCTAAATTAGGGTTTAACGACGCCAACTTTCGCTGCCCTGAGGATTCGGTCCTTTATTTTGTATCCCCTCTGCACCACCTGCGCCACGCTGCCCTTTTTCTGCAGACACAAACCCTAAACCCTAAACCCTAAACCCTAAACCCTAAACCTTAGAGCCTTCACCGCAGCGCCGCAACCCTGAACCCTAAACCCTAAACCCCACAGATTGATCATATGCCATCGATCGCTAGATGTTGAGGGTTTATGCTGTTAGGGTTTAGAGTTTAGGGTTTAGGGTTTAGGGTTTAGGATTTGCTGCATGCGCACGTCGCTGGGACCGTCCATCTCGAAGAGAGCCTCATGAAGAGAAGGGTCGAACTTCTGGCCTATCTGCGCCCACAAACCCTAAACCCTAAACCCTAAACCCTAAACCCTAAACCCTAAATCGTAAGACCCTAGCTCACAGCTGGTTTTCTGTTGCTGACAACACTGCCGAAGCCCAAAACCCCAACCCTGAGCCTTCAACCCCAAACCCTAAACCCTAAACCCTAAACCCTAAACCCTAAACCCTAATTCCTCACCGGGTCGTATTGCTGCACCCCAAACCTCTCTAGGGTTTTGTGGAAGAGACTTTCGGTCATCGATATGCCGTCGACAAACTGCTGCAGCTGCCCCACACTCTGCTGCTGCTGCTGCTGCTGCTGCTGCTTCTCAAGCTGCTGCTGCAGCTGCTGCCGCGCGTTGGTCAAAGAGTCTCCAACATCTAGCAGCGCCTTTGCAAACCCTGAAATGGCGTAATCTCTCGCCGACTCCACCTGCCCCACAAACCCTAAACCCTAAACCCTAAACCCTAAACCCTAAACCCTAGCTGCAGCAGCTGCTGCTAAACCCTAAACCCTAGCTGCAGCAGCTGCTGC